AAAAAGCAAGAGATTTGTGGTGATATATTGTGTATCAAATAAAGTTTGCCTGAAGATGAGAGGACAGAGCCAGCACTAGACTAAACATAGAGGCCAGGTGGTGATAGCATATACCTTTAATCCTAGCACTCAGGAGGCAGATATTCATCTGGATCTCTGAGTTCAAATCCACCCTGGATTACATTAGATTGATTCAGTCTAGGAGAGAAACACAGCCAGGCAGTGGTGGGACACACCCTTAATTCCAGCACTTGGGAGTCACAGGTCTCAATCCCAGCACTTGAGATCTCATGCTTTTGCTACCAGTATTTGGAAAAAACATACGCCATTAATCTCAGCACTAGGAAGGAGGTGAGATGGCTAACTAGAGAAAGGCATGTGGAGACAGGAACTAGAGCCTTTTGCATGATGACTCAGAGGCATTCAGTCTGAGGATTTGTGGAGATAACATCTTGCCTTCCTTTCCATTCAGCCTGAGGATTGGGTAGTGGTGAGAAGTTTCTCTAATGGCTTGTTCCTTTGTCTGTCTGATCTTTCAGCACTTGCCCGATATCTGGCTCTTGGTTTTTTATTATAAGATCCTTAGAATTCATACAAAAGAGATTTATTAATGAGTGAGTTAGAGCTTAAATCTGAGGATATAAGTTTTTAGAACACAGTTAGAAAATATGTTTCTGTCTTGCAAGAAGGATACCATTATATATCAAAGTGGGTTTATAAATGAGTTGCTGTTTACCTTTTTTCTTTGGTACCATGCAGAAAAAAAATTCCTTCTGTTAGCAAAACCAACCAACATGTGATTGTATTTCAGGATTATTCTATGAGATTACATATTGGTGAAATTATTTAGGCCACTCCATGTAGTTAAAAGGGAGGTTTATTTTGTGGCGTAACTTACAAATGAAGGGATAGGCTACAGGGTCTGGAAAAGGTATGGCACAGTCCAGCGGGGTTCTCTGGAGCACTCTGCTTGGTCTAACTCCATTGTCCAGGGTCCAGGAACCAAAAGAGCCAGCGCATCCAGATCTCGAGTCTTCAGGGTCCACTCTTGGCCCTACCTTGTAGGCGTGACAGTTACCGAAGCCTCAATGGGGGTTGAAACTTCCAGATCAAAGCTTGAATAGTTACCCACTACAACTACATCTATTCCTGACAATACTCATGTGGCCTAGAACCTGATACTAGATTACCCTGGGCTTAGGAGAAAATTAAATACTACTGTTCTGCTCAAAAGGCATGGGGAAGAAAGATTCTGAAAAATCAGCCAGTTTAACAACATATACAAGCCAGAACCTTGAGGAATAGGAGGCCCATGTGCTAAGTAATAATGTCTTGCCCATATCTTGAGACTTTGCTTCTCCTTTCGCTAATGTCAGGGAGGATCGACGGCCATTTCTCTCTCTTCTTCTGAATATTACCTTTTCATAAAGCCACATGTGTTTATTTCTCACTGTTTCTCTCAGGATAGCGTATATAGTAATATTTCTTGCTCTTTGGTCATGAGTTTAAACTTTACCAGCTGAGTCATTTCCCTGGTCTTAAGAATTTGTTATTTTTCAATGAAAACCTCCTTTTGAAACTCAGCTGACCATGGAATTGATTTATAAATTATATATAAATTAATTCTACTTTTGTAATCTCCATTGCTTCCACCATCAGATAAATCTACATATCAGAGCACTTCCTAGAGAACTGACACAAAGAAGTTGCTTTATGCCTAAGGAACAAGTCATAGACTGAATGGGGTTGACACATCACTGCAACTGTATTACCAAACCAGTAATAGGAGCTGAAGTTTTCCTGTGTCCCGCCCAGTTCACAGTTGCTCAGACCTAAGTAAACACAAGGAGGCTTATATTAATTAAAATTGCTTGGGCATTAGATCAGGCTTACTACTGACTAGCTCTTACACTTAAGTGAATCCATTTTTGTTAATCTATATGTCGACATGTTTTCTGCAGCTTTACCTGTGTGCCATTACATGCTGCTCCCTGGATAGTGGGCTGGCATTTCCTGACTCAGCCTTCCTCTTCCCAGAATTCTCCTTGTCTACTTATCCTGACTATACTTCCTGCCTGATTACTGGCCAATCAGTGTTTTATTAAACCAGTCTAAAAAAGCATTATCCCACAGCAGTAATGCAAGGCAGGGATTTCCTGAGATCAACTGTGCATGGCTTTGATTCAAGGACTCTGCTGTAAGGAGGTTACTCATTTCCAAAGTTGGGATATTTTGTATAAAAATTACATAAATTTGCATTATGATTGAAAACCTCATATTAAACAAATACTCATTAGTTTTCACTGATACTATGTTTAAATGTGTCAGTGAAGAAGCTGTTACCATACTATAGACTAATGAAGACACAGTTTGTAATTGTGACTTCAATTCCAGCATCTGTGTCTGTAGGGATATCTACAATAGCAAAGTTTCCTTAACTCTGCACCATCTGACATGTCTTACCATGCCAGAGTCTTGGGAGGAGACTCAGTGTGAACTCAGACAAAAACCTCCCTACAGAGGAGCTTGGGAACCACAGAAGCACTTAATAACTGCTGAAGATACCCAGAACTAGTAGATGCTCCTCAATTCATATGCAGAAATGATCTGTTCCCATGTGCTTACTCACAAACATGCATGTGTCTGTTTTCATTTTATAATACATAGTTTCCCCTTCCTGTTCAAAAAATCTTCTAGGGACCTTTTGCAATGTCATCTTCTATGATACTTAACATGTGCTAAATTCTTAAAAGCATAACATTATTTCCCTATGGAGCATCTAAGATATCCATTTGTCATTTGATTCCAGATGAAATAAACATAAGAATAAAATTTTCCATGTTTGTCCACACCGGTCTGTAACTTTAATACAGGTGATATTAGTGATAATAGATCTGGTTGGATAAAACAGGGGAATTTAAATAATCTGAAAACCTTTCAATTTATTTTCTCTCATGGGGAGTAAAATCCAGATGTTCCATGAAAAATGTTCTTGCCAATGATAGATGGGAAAACAAGTTGTCTACATTTTACAGCATCCCATGGATTAATGCTCCAATAGGATAGAGGTAATTAACATTTTTTACACAGTGCATATTGGAAATTTGCATCCATGTAAAGAATACTGTCCGACCCAATGTCCAATGTAATGATTCCTTTGAAGATGTTTCTTATACTCTCAGCTTGTGTTAAAGTCTAAGTGACCATTGTGCACATGCCTGCTGATGCCATCTACTGTCTCTGTCCTAACTCACTTCCATTGGCAACAGAGTTCCTTGTCACGGTTTTCTGCTTTTTGCTGGTGTTTTCTTGTTAACATTGACTCCATGCTCACTGTAAGGAAACTCTGTTGCTTCAGAAGGTAGGAAAGCTGAATGTTTCAGCTGAGAGTTAGAGAAGATCATTTGTGAAGTGATATTTGGTGTTGGTTGAATTGTGCTACAGATTTCAAGTATCTGTAACAATAAAAGAGAATCTACTGACCCAGGCCTGTGCCTTCTCTGGATACTATTATAGTGACATCAGCTAAGTGTGAAGATATTTTGGAGAACAGACTGTAGAATATGGGATGTCTGAGAACAAGACCAACATAACTCATAGACCAGCAGAGTGTGAAGGTAAAAAACAAGGGATCCACTGTCTGTTATCTAATGTGAGGTGAAGGTTAGCCCACATGGCTGCTTGTGTCATATAATGACCACAGTTATCCTGCAGGTTGGGCAAACTCTGGACACCAGGAGTCTGTGGATTAACTTCTCACTATCTCCCACGTATGCTGAAGAAAAGGGTAAATGTATGAACAACCTTTAATTAATGTGAAATGAGCTCTTTGGGCTAAGATTTCAGCAAATATTTCTTCTGCAATGATGTAAGTCCACGAGGATCACCCAATGATGGAGAAATGGCTGAGATCTACAAGAATATTTTTTTAAATTTATCTTAAGATTTATTTATTTGTACACACCTGAAATCTGCTGGAAAAAGCAAATATTAATTGCTTCTACATGAAATAAGATTAGAAATTCTCCTACTTTAGGAGTTTTTGAAATTTCCATTCACAACTTTTCTCATCCCTACAACTACCTGTAAATGAATTCTTTCAGGAAAAAGATCTAATGTCTCAGATTGGTTTTCTATATTTAAATGGAGAGATTATGCCTTGATGTTATATCCACAGGGTCTGCACAGGTCTCAGGGATGGCTGCTTCATCAGAGAGGGTTAGGAGGATTTGATCCTCAGCATCCTGCTGCCTGCCCTAGATTTCCTCTCCCTCCTTCTTCTCCAGCTGGACTAAGTCCTTAACTAAGAGGTATTCTGCCTCATGAATGTGCAAATCATGTGAGTCTATGGTGGTAAATACAGAGATGTCCACACCCCACAACACATATGATTTGTGTCCTCTCCACTGTCACTGAGTACACAAGGTCCTCACCATGAAACGGAGCTGGATCTTCCTCTTGCTGGTGGCAGCAGTTACAGGTAAGGGGCTCCCAAGTTCCTTAGTTGTGGAGAATGCATACATTCAAGTGACAATGACATCCACTAAGCCTTTCTCTCCACAGGTGTACACTCCCACGTCCAGCTGCAGTAGTCTGTGGCTGAGTTCTGGAAACCTGGGGCCTCAGTGAAGTTGTCCTGCAAGGCTTCTGGCTACACCTTCACCAGCTACTACATTACCTGGGTGAAACAGAGGCCTGGACAGGGCCTGGAGTGGATTGGATGGATTTATCCTGGAAATGGTGAAACTAACTACAATCAGAAGTTCAAGGGCAAGATCACACTGACTGCATACAAATCCTCCAGCACAGCCTACATGGAGCTCAGCAGTCTGACATCTGAGGACTCTGCAGTCTATTAATGTGCACGAAACACAGTGTTACAACCCACATCCTGAGTGTGTCAGAAACCTTGGAAGAGTAGGAAACTGCTGGGACTTAGATGGCAGAGATTAGCCTGGAGACTTGCTCAGACATAAATCATGCTGAGTGTGCCTTTGTCTGTCACTTCACAATCCTATGAAGTCTTTATCAACAAGCAGTTGAGAATGGAATGATGCTGATTTTGGATTCCCCTACTGTACACAATATGTTGACTAGATCTTTATCATGACCACCTCCATTCACATACTCTTCTCTAATTAAACAAAAGATAATAAGCTCTGGTAGCTATTACGATATATATGATTATGATATATCAAAATATAATATATATCTATATATCCATTCAATCTAAGAGACTAGAACTGTTAGTGAAGTACCTAGGAAAATACTGTAATATGAATTTGTCTGGTAAAATACAATAAAAATATCGAGGCAAACTGAAACCCCTTTCAATGATCAGTTTCATATATCTAACACCAGGACAAATACTTAATTGGAAGTTGTCCCCATACATTTGTGAGGAGACACTTTACATTTCCTCGTAAATCTAATTTCATATATTTATTTATATGTATATTTAATCCTCAATTGTTTGGGGTAATAATCAAATTTCTTATTGATTTGGATTTAGAGATGTAGCAGTATGTCAAGCTATGGAGTCCTCAGGGTGTGAAGTATGAAAACTTTGGCAAAATTCTTGGCTCCTGCTCAGGTAACATTGGGACCAGAGCAGTCAAATTCCAAACTGAAATGTAAGAGACCAGTTCATGTTATCAGGAGCCATGTGTGTTCATTATCCTGTTTCATGAAATTGAACAGTCTTTGTCCCAAATTCAAGACTGACATTCATTGATATTCAATGGACATCAGTGTATGGTGCACAATGATCCCCATAACACACACATACACACAAATACACACACACACACAGAGAGAGAGAGAGAGAGAGAGAGAGAGAGAGAGAGAGAGAGAGAGAGAGAGAGAGAGATACACACTCATACATCTTTTGTTGTTAGGTGCAGTAGGACCACTTAGAACTTCTCTGGATTCTTGGCTCTGTCTCACTTTTCACAGGTGTGCTTCCAATCATTTCTGTCTGTGTATGCCTTTTTGTTTTTGTTTTGTTTTGTTTTTATTAGGAAAATCTACATACATTTTGGCTGTACAAATGATGAATGGCATTAACAGAAAAAATACTGCCATTGATAGCATGGCTACAATGTGACTATTTTGAATTAAATAATAATAACAAAATGAAAAAGAAAGAAAACAACAAAGTGGACAATGTGATTCTCTAGTGCACACAGTTCCATTTATTTATCTATTTATTTATTTATTTACTTATTGTCTCAGATCAAGCCAACAGTTTTATTAAAATTAACAAGACCCTGTGCCTTGAAACTCCAAATTGTTTCCCATCTCACCTGGCTCCTACACATATATGAGCACCCTCAGGTTGAGATTGAATTGGAATGTTTGTTTTCTTGCCAGCACATTTATTTTCCTATTGGAATTTATTCTCACAGTTCACCATTATCCTTCCTTATCTTCTGGCACTTCTCCAGCAGATCACATGATACTCAGAAATGGTCTCCTTCACCAAGTAAAAGTGGAAAGAAATTCCTTGTTCTATAAGGCATTGTGTCCTCCTGCTCTTGTCTTTGCTATGAAAGCGTCAAGACCATCATGAACTCTCTTGTTCAAATATAAAACAGAGTCAGGATAGAAAGCAAAGAGCAGTTCCCTTACCTGTGAGTTGTGGGGAACCACCAGCAGAAAGATGAAGAATGGTATGGAAGTTGGGTTGTTGTTAGATTTGAACTGGCTGCAGCCATGCAAGTTTCAAAGGTCTGTCTTCTGTGGGGACAAGCTGGATTACTCAAGTGGAGTCAAAGCTCCCATCCTCCACAGAATCCCATCTTTTGGCTGCCCTGATGCATCACAATCACACACCATTCCTAGTACAGCCTTTCTAACCAGTATAGGATTGCTCAGAGATTATAAGAATGTCTACAGATATTTCAGAGCAATCATTACATGGCAGTGAGATTAACCAATTTGAGACCATGTCTGTGGTGATATTGTGTCCCCCAATATATTGTGTACCCTAATAAACTTATCTGGGGTCAGAGGACAGAACAGCCACTAGATAGAGAGGCCAGAAAATGGTGGCACACACACACACACACACACACACACACACACACACACACACACACACAACTTTAATCCTAGCATTCCAAAGGCAGAGATCCATCTGGAAACATTCAGGTATGGTGACATACGCCTTTAATTCCAGGAAGTGATGGCAGGAAGCAGAAAGGTATAGATGGTGTGAGGACCAGGAACTAGAGCCTGGTTAAGCTTTTAGGCTTTATAAGCTTTTAGCTTTTAGCAGCATTTTAGGTGAGATCCATTTTGGTGAAGACCCTGAGGCTTTCAACCTGAGGAAACAGGTTTGGCTGAGGAATTGGCAAGGTGAGGTTGGATGTGACTTGTTCTGTCTCTCTGATCTTTTCAGCATTTAGCCAATACCTGGATCTGGGTTTGTTCTTATTAATAAGACCTTCTACGATTCATGTTACATCTGGCACTCAATGTTTATGGTACAAATTCTCAAAAAAGCTACTTGCCTGTGGTCTTGCAATCCCCAGCTCAGACCCGAGCTGCATGCCTATAGTATTTGCTGTAGGAGACAGAGGCATGAGGATCCCGAGTTTGAGGCCAGCCAGGGAGGCTTGCTAAGGAGAAGATGTGGATGGAGCCAAGCCACAAATAGTGGTGATGGGCCCATGGAGGGAGCAGCTGCTGCTCCAAGTTGCTGGCTCCATCTTATTATGTTGGTTACTAGGTGAGGCTGCTATCTGGGATGAAGGGTTTACTGCTGCTTGTTCAGAGAAGAATTGCCAGGACCATTGTGTTACAAGAAAGCATCAGCAAAGGTCAGTCTGGAAAGTTTTGGCAAGACAAATGGTGGGGAGAAATTGCTGTGAAGATTTTCTCTTTTAGGGAAGAACGTTCATGGTTCCAAGAGATAGACATGTATCAGACTGTGATTCCTGCAAATCACACAGGAGGCAAAAGAAAGAAAAAAAAGTCTGTAGGGAGCCATAATCACACCTAACTGCAACTTTGAAATCTTCAAAAGAATGACAGGGAGCTACAAAGATGATAACACGTTGACTACGGTAAAGCCATTAAGCTGAGTAACACCACGGAAAGATTGGCTTTGGACTACAAAGTGCTCAGGACAATTTGGAGATGACTAGCTGAGATGATCCAGATTCACAGACAACTCGAGCAAGGACTTGAGACAAACCCTACATTTTCCCATTATGCAGAGACTGGACAACAAATGATACAGCTACCTTTCCCAGGACTTCATATTAAACCAAAAAAGTTTTCTTCAGGATCTCCTAAAGATGTCTTTGTCCCCAGAAAGCATAAAGTAATTTTAAGAAAATGACGCCTGCATTCTCAAGAGCTGGGGTGGGTGTTTTTGGTCATTCAATGGCTTATGGATATTTGTTATTGTTAAGGATGGTTAGTTACAAGTTGTTGAGTGTTAGTGGTTTAAAAAAAAAAGCCAAACAAAGGAGATTAGATGCAGGGTTCTTGTTTAAAAAAAGAAAAAGAAAGAAGATATAGAAAAGTGTAGATGATTGAATCTACTCTTAAAAAAGGGGAGATATAGAAATGATAAGATAAAAGGTAGAGTTTTTTGATATACTTAAAAAATATGATATGATAAGATAAAAAAGGGAGATTAATGAATCTACTTTTAAAAAGGAACTACTTGTTTTAAATAGGATAAGTAATGAATTTTTTTGTCTGAATCTGTCAAATGTTAATTGACTAGACATTGTTAATGTAATTCTTGACTATATATATTATATATACTTATTGGATATAGTTTTTCTTGTATTAGTTATAAGCTTATTTTAATTTTAAACAAAAAGGGGAAACGTGGTGATATTGTGTTCCCCAATATATTGTGCACCTTAATAAACTTATCTGGGATTAGAGGACAGAACAGCCACTCGATATAGAGGTCAGAAAGTGGTGGCACACATGCCTTTAATCCTAGCATTCCAAAGGTAGACATCCATCTAGATCTCTGTGTGTTCAAAGCCACCCTGGAAACAGCCAGGCATGGTGACACACACCTTTAATCTTAGGAAGTGATGGCAGGAAGCAGAAAGGTATATAAATCATGAGTACCAGGAACTAAGACACAGTCTGATATTGTATGTTATGATTTTCAAATGACATTAATTCTGTATGATCAATAACGTCGTTAAATATTTTTGCCATAAGACAGCAAAAAGCAAAACTAAGATAAATTAGTCATGCAGATCCTGAGGAGTAGTTTTACAGAGTCTGGCAATGGTTCATTTCATTTCACCACCTATAAGGCCCAGGAGACATCTTCTATGGAAGTTAGAACCCTTCCCTGGAAGTATAGAAGATCTGACATGGAGAAGTTCAGTTAGTTCCTATAATCTGTTACTCTCCTTGGAACACTACAGTATCAGAAATGACCCAGTCCAAAGGCCCTGTCAATAACCCTAAAGACAGTTAATCTCATAAGAGAATGAATTTCTCTTTGGGAATCTATGACCTAACAATCTTGTCTCACAGAGAGGTGATTCCAGGGATCTTCATGCTAAAAATCAGCCCAATTCAGTATAGAGTGTCATGTCTTAGAAAGGGAGCCAGACTGGTTAGATGGAATGACATCAGAATAGGGCCCCAGTGGAGGCTCTAAATTACTTTCCACCTTTGGATCTCATACTCATGGTTCCTTTACTACTTCAAAAATGATTAAAAATAGAGACTTAATGTACAGGAGTGCTATATCCAACACAATTGACACCAGGCAAGCAATAAATATAAACAAAAAAGTTCAAATTTTTGAAGTTATTTACCGAAAAATAATAGTATATAGATTTTATTTATCATTTTTTCAATACTGTTT